GTTGTGTCATCAGTGTATTGCAGGTTGTTAATGATTCTTCCTCCAATCCTGATGCCACGTTCTTCTTCATATAGTCCAGCTTCTTGGATTATTTGCTCAGCATACAGATTGAATAAGTACGGTGAAAGGATACAACCCTGACACAGTCCCTTCTTGATTTCAAACCATGCAGTGTCCCCTTGTCCTGGTCAAATAACAGCCTTCTTGGTCTGTGTACAGGTTCCTCATGAGTACAATGAACTGTTCTGGAATTCCAGTTCTTTTCAGTGTTATCCATAATTTGTTATGATCCACACAATCAAATGCTTTTGCATAGTCAATAAAACACAAGTAAAGATCTTTCTGGCATTCTTTACTTTGAGCCAAGATCCATCTGAAATCATCAATGATATCCCTCATTCCACATCTTCTTCTGAATCCAGCCTGCACCTCTGGAAGTTCTCTGTCAATATACTGGTGCAACTGTTTTTAATTATCTTCAGTAAGATTTTAGTTGAATGCGATATTAATGATATTTTTGGATAATTTCCACATTCTGTGGGATCACCTTTCTTTGGAATGGTACAAATATGGATCTCTTCTAGTCAGTTGGCCAGGTAGTTGTCTTCCAAATCTCTTGGCATAACCTAGTGAGTGCCTTCAGTGGGGCATCTATATGTTGAAACATCTCAATGGGTATTCCATCAATTCCTGGAGCCTTGTTCCTTGCCAATTTCCTCAGTGCAGCTTCAACTCTTCCCTCAATACCACTGGTTCTTGAACATTGCCACCTCCTGAAATGGATGAAGATCAACCAGTTCTTGGTACAGTGACTCTGTGTATTTCTTCCATCTTATTTTGATAATTCCTGAATCAGTCAATATTTTGCCCATAGAATCTTTCAATATTGCAACTCGAGGCTTAAATGTTTTCTTCAGTTCTTTCAGTGTGAGAAATGCTGAGCGTGTTCTTGCCTTTTGGTTTTCTAACTCCAGGTCTTTGTACATTTCGTTACAGTAATTGGCTTTGTCTACTCGAGCTGCTCTTTGAAATCTTCTGTTCAGGTCTTTTATCTTGTCATTTCTTCCATTTGCTTTAGCTACTCTTCCCTCAAGGGCAAGTTTCAGAGTCTCTTCTGACATCCATTTTGGTCTTTTCTTTCTTTCTAGTATTATTAATGACCTCTTGCTTTCTTCATGGCTGATGTTCTTGATGTCATCGCACAATTCTTCTGGTTTTCGGTCACTGCTGTTCAATGCATCAAATCTATTCTTTAGATGGTCTCTAAATTCAGGAGGGATATATTCAAGATGGTAGTTTGGCTCTTGTGGATTTGTTTTAATTGTCTTCAACTTCAAGTTGAAGTTGCATGTGAGCAGTTGATGGTCTGCTCCACTATCAGCTCCTGGCCTGGTTTTGGCTGAAGATATTGAGCTTTTCCACTGCCTCTTGCCACAGATGTAATCAATCTGATTCCAGTGTACTCTGTCTGGTGAAGTCCACGTGTGTAGCTACTGTTTGTGTTGTTGAAAAAAAAGTATTTGCAATGAACAGGTCGTTGGTCTTGCAAAATTCTATCATGCGATCTCCAGCATTATTTCTGTCACCAAGGCCAAATTTTCCAGCTACTGGTGATTCTTCTTTGTTTCCAACTTTTGCATTCCAATTAGCAGTGTTAAGCAACACATCTTCATTGCATGTTTGGTCAATTTCAGACTGCAGAAGGTGATAAAAATCTTCAATTTCCTCATCTTTTGCATTGGTGGTTGGTGCATAAATTTGAGTGTTAGTCATATTAACTGGTCTTCCTTGTAGGCGTATGGATATTATCCTATCATTGGCAGCATTGTACTTCAGGACAGATCTTGAAACATCGTTTGTGATGATGAACGCCATTCCATTCCTCTTCAATTTGTCATTCCTGGCATAGTAGATCATATGTTTGTCTGATTCAAAATGGCCCAAAACAGTTCATTTCAGCTCACTAATGCCTAGGATATCAATCGTTATGCATTCCATTTCTTTTTTGACAATTTCCAATTTTCCTAGATTCATACTTCATACATTCCATGTTCTGATTATTAATGGATGTTTGCAGTTCTTTCTCTTCATTTTGAGTCATACCATGTCAGCACATGGAAGTCTTGAAAGACTGACTTTATCCATATCATTAAGGTTGCTTCTACTCTAATGAGGCAGCCCTTTTCCAGCCCTATTTTGAGTGCCTTCCAACCCAAGGGGCTAGTCTTCCTGCACTGTGTCAGACAATGTTTCCAAGCTATTCATAAAGTTGCCTTGTAATGTATCAGACAGTGTTTCTCTGCTATTCATAAGGTTTTCCCTGGCCAATTTTTGAGAAGTGGATGGCCTCCTCCTTCTTCCTAGTCTGTCTTAGTCTGTAAACTGCACCATGTGCAACTCCACTGGTGTCTGAAATACCAGTGGCACAACCTCAAGCCTCACAGCAAGGTACATGCCTCACAGGATGACAAACTGACAGATAAGTTTGTCTCCCTTAGCTGTTAGAAACCTCTGCACCCTCCTCTTATCTAATTCCTACCTGAAATCTGCCACTTTATGGTCCCTCGTGCTCCTGGCCCTCCCTTTCCTGGCTCTAGAGGACTTGAGGCCTAGCCTTGCCTCCTGCTCTTTTTAACCTGGATATCCTGCTGCTCCTGAGGTCCCCAAAGCTGCTCCTATTCCCTCCCTTTCCTGGCTCTAGGGGCTTCGGGCCTAACCTTGCCTCCCACCCCTTTTAACCTGGAGAGCCTGCTGCTTCTGAGGTCCCTGAGACCACTCCTGGTCCCTCCCATTCCTGGTTCTAGGGGCTTGGGGCCTAGCCTTGCCTCCCTCCCACGGAATTTATTAGCATATCCCTAACATATTTCTCTGCTCTGTAGACAGCTACCCAGAACCTCGTTTTTTAAAATTCTAACTCAAGCAATTCTGTATTTGCATTTCTTAAATAATGTAAACTAAGGAGCTTTGGTAGCATAGTGTCTAAGTCACTTGACTGCTAACCAGAAGGCTGGCAGTTCAA